CTGATGACCTGAGGAAGCAGGGTAACTGGGGGGGAAGTCGTACAGGCGAGTGCTGAGCAAATCATGGGCCAGGGCACCTCGCTGTCTCGAAAAGTAGATTGGGCAGTGAAAGCTGTCTTCTGAGGTGAAGAGGTCAACTTCTGCCCTCCCGAAGACAGACCAAATCATTTGAACTGTCTGGGGATGTAGTCTCCATTCTCCTGGAGCTACATTGTCCCAGGACAGCATGTCTGCCCCCTGGTTCAGTCTGCCCGGCAAATGAACTGCTCTCAGTGAGAGGAGTTTGCCCTGTGCCCATAAAAGGAGGTGTCGAGCCAACCTGTGAAGGGAGCGTGACCTAAGACCGCCTTGGTGATTGATAAAGGCTACCACCGTTGTGTTGTCCAAATGGACCAGGATATGGTGCCCCCTTTCAGGCTGGCAGGAAAGTTTTCAGGGCCAGAAAAAACACACCATCATCTCAAGGCAGTTGATGTGTAAGCACTGCTTCAGGTTTGACCAGGAGCCGGACGCCGGTCTGCCTTTGTGCAGAGCTCCCCAACCCGAGTTGGAGGCATCTGTCATGACCACCATCCTTTTGGAGGTCAGTCCCAATGGGACACCTGATTGAAACAGACGAGAGGTTTTCCAAGGGGCCACGGCTCTGATGCAGCGGTGGGTTACCCTGAGATGAAAAAAGGCATGGGACGGGACATGGGTTTTGAGCCCGTACTGAAGGGCCAGGCCCAGAGGAATCACATGAGGCTGAGCATCCTCTGGAAAGCCCTGACAGGACTGAAGACCCTAATTTGAATGACGCTGCCAATTGCTGAACAGGGAGTTCCAGTGTAATCCATGCCCACATTCGGGCAGAATTGATAACTGTACCAAGAAAGACCACTCGTTGGCTGGAAGACAAGGAGCTCTTGTCTAAATGTGTGCACAGCTCTCTAAAGGCATCAGAACTCATCCATGGTGCGGAGAAGTATGGCCTGGAACACTTGCTGTTAACACATGCTGAGTAGGGGGCACACCATATCTTGGTGAGTTCCTCGTGAACTGCCGGCAGGAATGGAGCGGGCCATTGGCAGGAGGAATGTTGACAGCGTCCCTTCAGGTACCATTTGTCAAGGAGACCGTGGGCAGGCTCTTCTGGAGCCGACCAAGCCAGGCCAAGATCCTCCACAGCTTTAGATAAAATGCGGGTCAGCTCGCTGTCCACCTTGGGCCGTGTTGTCTGTGTCAGAGGCGGGTTTTGGACTCTTTACAGGAACACGCCCACTCTTCAGCATTCAAAGCCGTTAATGACATGGAGTCATCAACGACGGCTTCCTCCTCAGATGCGCAGAGGGAAATCAAGCTGTTCGCAGCCGATGAGGGGCGCTGTTCCTTACTTGTGAAGCACACAGGTGAATCGAGATGTTGGGGGAGAGTGAAGCACACGGGAGCTGCGTCGGCGTGGATCACTCGAGCCCGGTGTTAAAGCCCAGATGCTCCGTTGTTTCTTTCTCCTAGGGGAAAGAGGAAACGGGAAAGCAGAGTGGGGAGGGCCACCTTCATTAACCCTTTAACGCGTACAATCACACCGGTGTGATTAGAACGCTCAGTGCATCACGTGATCAACTGCTGAATTCAAATCGGCTTTCGTGCTTTTCCTAGCGCTGAGCCAGAGACGGACACGCTCGCTTGTCATATTATCACAACTATTCAGTGTTTTCAACCATATAATGCTTATTATAGGTTTCAGACATCTAAACACACATTAATACTAGCAAAACAATACATTTATAGTTTGTAAAATACTCAACAATAATAATCCATTCAAATATAATTTGACGTTTTATTGATATCAAATACACATTGTGTAGGTAACTATAAAGTTTAGTCTACTCTTCTTCCAGTTCACCAGAAACTTACTTTAATGTATCTCGGGAGGAGAGGAATTTACGTGTTGTAAATCCCACAGCTCGGATTCAGCGCAAACTAACATGGCAGCGCCCATCACCCGTTGTAGATCAACTACCATGGTCATTATAAAGGTGTTTAAACTACCAAATACATTTACTTACACTTGTGGCTGCGGTGTGCCACGTGACAAACATGATGCATCTCTATGGAAACAGTAAAGCAAAACATTCTAAAATATTGGTCGCCTAAAAAAACTCATGCTGGGGCCTCAGCTAGTATATTTTAAACTCACGTGCGAAAAGTTTAAAGAAGGTGATCCGCGAATGGCAAAGGGCGAGACTCTCGCAGGGAGAGCATGTCATCTTAGTTAGCGCAGCCTCTGCGTACAGGCGACGCACTCACTGTGCCCATCTGCATCATGCAGGGGTTCCCGGCACGAGCCATACTCGCGGCGTGACATTAGCAGCAACATCACTGGAAATTTGCTAAGAAATTTGCTTAGAATTTGCTTTTAGATGTGCCGGATGGCCGCAGGGGAAGGCTTCTGGTTTCTTCCACTGCCGGGGGCTCCCTCTACGGCAGCGAGCAGCAGGCTGAGCTGAGCTGAGCTTGTTTGCAGAATCAGCGAGGAGATAATCTTCTTTGCTGAAGGAGAAAAATTATGGCAAAATGGCGCTCAGAGCCTACTTATATAGAGGTTGGCTCCTCCCCTTTTGGTGGGTTGAAGCGCCATTGGTTCATGCAGCTACCAATTCATTCAGTCATTCAGTATCAGAGTAAACAGCAGTTTCCCCATAAGTGTGTCAACGCAACGGGAGAGACCGTTTGAAAGGGAAACGTTCCCTGAAAGGGAAGCGCTTGCTTGAACCCCCTATGCCCTCTCAATTGCTCAACCCCTGCTTGCTCATCAGGTTGACTTTTGAGACTTTGGAGGTGGGGATCAAGTGTCAGATGTCAACACTCCTGTGATTGGTCATTGGAATACATTGAGTTAGAGAGACAGAACTGCGATTTTTAGTAATTAGTAGACAATAAATGCATTTACAATATTTATAAAATAAATCGACATGTACATGTGTTTTTAAAAGTCAAGTCATCTTTATTTATATAGCACTTTATACAATACAGATTGTGTCAAAGCAGCTTTACAGTGTTAAGTCAGTTCATTGTTGATTCAGTGATGTCATCATCCAGCTCAGTTCAGTTCTCTTCCAATAGTGTCTGTGCAGTCAAATCAACAATGTTGCCAGAAATTGTGTTCCCAACTAAGCAAGCCAAAGGCAACAGTGGCAAGGAACCTAAACTCCATCGGTGACAGAAATGGAGAAAAAACCTTGGGAGAAACCAGTATCAGTCAAAGGGCCAGTTCTCCTCTGGCCAGACGAAACCAGCATGGTGTGGTTTAATTCCAGGTATTAATAAACGGCCAGAGTTTTGTGATAAGAGAATGTGATAAGAGCTCGCTCAAGTACTGAGGAGCTAAACCATTCAGGGCTTTATAAGGAATTAGCAAGATTTTAAAATGTGTACAATGTTTAATATGGAGCCAGTGCAGTGTTGACAGAACCGGGCTAATATGATAATTCCTGGTTCTAGTAAGAACTCTAGCTGCTGCATTTTGGACCAGCTGGAGTTTATAAGTGCGCAGAGCAACCACCCAATAAAGCATTACAATAATCTAACCTTGAGGTCAAGAACGCACAAATTAACGTTTCTGCATTTGACATAGTTCATCTTTTAGATATATTTTTAAGATGGAAAAATGCGGTTTTACAAATGCTGGAAACATGACATTCAAAGCAAAGGTTGCTGTCAAATAGCACACTAGGTTCCAAACTGATGACGAAGAATTGACAACACAGCCATCAAGTGTTAGACAGTGTTCTAGATTATTACATGCAGAGGATTTTGGTCTGATAATTAACACCTGTTTTTTTTTCAGAATTGCTGAACATCAATTAAATTGTTACCTTTAAATAGTTTTGTTTTTGTATTTGCTAGTTTGGGGAACAGACACAGTCTCTATAGTATGATATCTAGGTGAAAGAGTCTCTATGTGTTGAGAATTAACAGACTTCTGTGATGTGAGGCGGCTAGCAGACAGTCGGTTTAGCCAGTCTGTCAGCTTCCTGACCTGGGCCCCAGTTAGTCAAGTACAAACTCTAAGATTATGTGCCATATTTCTATAGAGAAGAGCGGCACAACCCCAGGAGGGATGAAGACCATCTCTTTTCAACAGGTCAGGTCTGCCCCAAAAACTCATCCAATTTTCTATGAAACCTATGTTATTTGTGTCATGTGACATAAAAGACACTGAATGGGAGTTCAGGGTTTTCATCTTGAAGTTTTGCTTAAAATAAATATATACTAAAAGCAAACAAACAATGTACATGAACAGAAAAACAGAAAACGAAGTAAACTAGTAATTTCAAGGTTTTAGTTGTCTTTCCTTGCCATGTACAAATAATTTTTTTTCTGCAGTGCTGCAGTGTTTTAGCAAAAGTATCAAACTATTTTGCTCATGGTGTTATGGTGTCATGGTGTATATCTTTGAATATTCATTAGGCTTGTTTGAGATGCGGCTCGCCTCGCCTGAAATGAAGGCGAGAGTAGGCGGCTGCAGTGAGGGGAGGAGTGAAGTAAGCGCAGGCAAGACGGACAGTTCTGACCTCACGAAGTGGAACAGATACCTACGAGATTAAAGACAGATATCGTGTTATTCTCACTCATGTGCTGTGTTGCTAATAAACATGATATAATTTCAGTTCTGTTGCTTTTATATGAAAATAAATATGATGAACAAGATACTCAAAGTGCTTGATATTTAATTCCATACAAAAGTTGTATTTGTCATCCATTTTTACTTTAATACAAACATGTATTTTAGATTTTTATAGAAATATGATCATGCTTTTGATCAGCGCAGTCGGTGCTGCACAATCTGACACAGCCGCCTCGCCGTCGCGAGAGTTTTTTGGCACACGTCAGCATGACATCAGAGCAAGTCGGACGTAACTCGGACACTTTTCTAACTGGCATGCATCTCGTGGGGATCACCGGTGATCGGTTCTGCACAGATTTTGCTCATCTCAAACAAGCCTTATTATGGTGAATGACGTCAAGTTGACCATTCCAAAATGGCAGACGTGTCAACGTATCTGGAGGGGTCGAATAGGACATCTATACATATCTATGGGTATTACCCCCTGCATATTTTATTTGTGCGTGACATGATTTACGTGTTTTCTCCAGGTCATGCTTACCAGGTTGTGCATAAAGGCCGAAATGTGCCCAGATGTCGGCTTTTAAAGTAGTTGGAGCATTTTTAATTACTCGCTTGCGATATGTGCTCAAACACAAGACAAACAGATAGGCCTACACGAAACAAAGACAAAATGGATCAGACTGCCAATGCTAGTTATGTAGTACATTTTCTTTATCTCTGCATCTAAATAGGAAAGGTATCAGTTTTCATGTGCAGATTTTTGATTGTCTTTTTTTACTGCAATCAAAGATGTGATTTAGCACTGAGAGCTGAGTAGCATTAATCATAGTGGGTTTTTAAGGGTGCATACTGATATGTAGAGAACAATGTAATATAAATAAACACTTTCTTCCCCCCCCCCTTTTTCAGAAAAGGTGACAATGAGGACTGAGACAGGGCCTGGGACTGAGGTGCCACCCCAACATAAGGGTACTGAAGTTACCATTACAGAGTCAGCTTCAGATGGTAAAATGGCGAAAGAGGTAGGGAATTGTTTTAAATGTCCAACTAATATTTTTCGACATAAAGCCAAAAATGTTTAATTCATAATTTTCAGTCACGTGACTGGCTCGAAGACCTGGTGGGCAAAACATCCATAGAACTGCAGCACAAGCCTGTCAATTTTATATCTATGCAATGCGCTAAATGGTTAAGCGATTTCTTTATAATGGTTTTCTATGGGGAAACAATTCATATTAAATTTTGCATAAACTTTGCGCATTGCATTTATATTCTGGGTTCATCTGCTTGCCTGTACAAAGTATGCATCATCAATAAGGTGTATACTGAATTTGGCCTTTAAATATCACTGTCTTACTACATTACTACTTAATAAAAACCTTGTAAAAATAACAGGCGGTCGGTCAGTGGAGGAAAGCCTTGTTTTGCCCTCCAAGGGGGGGTTCCTGTAAGGATGTGACGTCGCGTGAAAACTATGAATTGGTGTAACTTTCCAGCGATAGTAGCAAGTCTCATTAAAGTTCAAATTTATTTATTTATTTATTTTTGACAACTTGTCCACCAAATCAAAGTTAGTGTAGTACAACCAACATGCAGGAAGCCATTTGACAAGAAAACCACAAGACAGATGGCATGAGAAAGAGGATCCATTCCATGACTGTCTAACTGAAAAGAAAGAAAGAAAGAAAATATTTTGGTGATTAACAGTTGTGAAAAATTATAATGTAATATAAACCGATACAATGTAATATAAACTGATAATATAAACTGATTATAGGATATCAAGCCTCATGACGATTCTAAAGATGTACAAGATGCATCACACAGAACAACATCTGACAAGAGCCCAAGATCCCCTCAGAAAGGCTCCAAACGTTCCAAGACTGTTCCCTTTAAAGTCACACTTTTGGATAGATCTATTTATGAAGAAAACATTGAGGTAAGTGAAGAGATGTTTCAGTGGTGTCCACATGGCAATTGTCTTTATGCCTCATGTGAAGCACTAAGAACACTTTAATAAACTCATAAATCAACTGTTTTTTTCCACGGACTGTAGGCTTTGACATACAGTACCTGGAAACCTTTCTAAATTAAACTACCATAGGTTATTATAAAAATACATTTCCCTCACAGTCATGTTTTAGTATGTACAAACTCCATTTCCAAAAAGAAAAAAAAAACTCAAAAAACATTTTGGAAAATGCAATAAAAAACAAGAATCTTAGATTTTGAACCTTTCTCTCTATTCTTTTGAACCTTTATTTAACTGACAAAAGAACAAAAAGTACATATTTACAATGTTTCCACTGAACAAAGTAATTGTGCTTTGTAAATATGAACACATTTTGAGTCTGTCTTCAACACACTCAAAAAAGTTAACACTAAAGAATACTTAACTAGACACAGGAACAAAACAACACACAAAAAAACAACTAAAACATGCAGAACTAGCTTAACAATACACTAAAAAATATTAGTGATCTTCGGTTCTTGAACGAATCGTTCTTTTGAGCCGGTTCACATAATCTAACTGAATCGAACTTTAGTTCCGGGTTGATGACGCAGGACGCACAGCCAAAGTAGCACATCCAACTCAAAAAGAACCGATTGAGCCATTTCAACCAACTGTCGAAGTTTGCAGAGAATTACTGAGGACTCAACAAGAACCGAATGAGCCGTGGCGAAGTTTGCAGAGGATTACCGAAGATTCTGATGAGTGAGTTGACGATACTGTGCAAGCCTGAGGCGTGTACTGGAAATATGCTTATCATGAGTGTTATTCATTTACATTTTATTAAAACCTGCAAAAACCTTTCTGTCGAGTGATGTAAATACATTTTACAATAGTTTTCTTCAAGAATCGGCTAAAAACACATCTCTTACATCTTTATTTGATCCTCTAACTCTATCACTCTCTATTCTAATTCTATTCTTTAAAAAAAACACTTGTCCCTTTTAGACTTGCACTCTATTCATTTGCTGATTGTTTTCTTTAAAAAACAAACTAACACTTCCTTTCTAATCTTTTTGTATTCTATCTGTTTTCTTTTAAGTTATTATACAATTAACAAACGCAAAAAAGACCTCTAACACTAGCTTGCTCTATTCTTTTTCTATTCTATCTGTTTTCTTTTTATTTATTATTAAAAAAAAACTTGCTACGTGTAATGCATTAAGCTAACTGACACTTCATTCTTTATACTGTAGACATGTAGAACATATCCATGTTTGTGCATCAATGTCTGTAATGTGTGCTGTAGGTGTGAAACTTTTAGGAATCTTATCCAAGTTGTAGGCTTGTCAATATTGGTCAGTCAGTCGTATCTGACATAAAGGATCCGCGAATGAAACTGTGACCACAAACACCATTAACTTAAGTTAATTATATGGCAATAATCAGCAATATGCTTTCACACAAATAACTTTATTTTTTGAATGTTTCAATATTTGTTGACACAAATTACTTATTTCAATTTTTCATTGATACAACATGGCACTGAGTTGTTAGAAAAGAAATGTGTAGAGATGTTATTGCTTGATGACGTCAGGAACCGATGAATTGGCTTTTTGAACCGGTTCAATGAGCCGATCTGTCCGAAAAGAACCGGTTCGCAGAAATGAATCAGACTTTGCATCACTACAAACTATTGCGACAAGGGAGAGCACAGTATATAGTCAGATGAACTAGCAAAATGCACATGGCAAACACTAACAAAGACAAGACGGACAGAGAAACATTAAACAATGACAGACAGAACTAGCTGTCAGGGGAGAGACCTGACAACTATACAGAAATGTATTAAAGTCATCAAAAGTACAAAATAAAACGGTTATACTTTACTTGAAGGGGTGTGCATAAGACTGACATGACACCTTAATAATCAAGACATGACACATGTCATGAATATGAAGGAGGTTTTATGCATGTTTATGACAACTGTCATTAAGTGTAATTCGCTCAGTTATGTCATTTTTAATGCAAAGATGACATTGTTTGAGATGTCTTTGTTATGGGCTATGGTTAGGGGTAAGGGTAGGGGTAGGGTTAGGTTAAGGTTAGGTCAAATAATGTCATATTTGCATTAAAAATGACATAACTGAGCGAATTACACTTAATGACAGTTGTCATAAACATGCATAAAACCTCCTTCATATTCATGACATGTGTCATGTCATAATTATAAAGGTGTCATGTCAGTCTTATGCACACCCCTTCAAGTAAAGTGTTACCAATAAAACACTGCATCTTATCTATGAATTAAATATACATTGATTCTAAGTTACCAAATTTATTTAGTGAAGAAGAGTGAATGATTCTCTCATGTTCTTTTGTTGTTTGATTAACATTAATTGATAGAGACAGCAGCAGATTTATTAGGCTCCTGTCATTTTGAGACTGAATGCACAGATCTAATGTACCGACAAGCATTTGATTTAACTATTTATGTTTGTAACATGGGAAGGTGTGACAACGCAGTAGTGGATCCAAGTGCAGGCTTTATTCCAAAGAGTGGTCAAAACAGGCAGGGTCAAACAACAGCAAACAGGTACAATCCAGGGCGAGACAAAAGAGTAGTCCAATAAACAGGCTAAGGTCAGGGCAGGCAGCAAACAACCAGAAACAAGGAAACAGTCCAGGGTCAGAAACACGGGAATGCTACAGGTTAGACAATACTGAGCAATGAATAAGTGAAAAACCAGGCTTTAAATAGGGTGAGACTGATGGAGGTAACAAGACAGGTGAATGCAATAAGTGATGATGAGTCTGGCAAATGATTTTGGGAACTGTAGTCTGTGAGCATGGCAAGAGTCGGGTGGAGTGCCCTCTAGTGGAGTTCATGGACACTCCAGCTGGAGATCGTGACATAACTAACTCTGTTTAAGTCATGGGTATTAATACATTGATATACATGCAATGATGAAAAAATATTTATTTCTAAAGCTATTCTTTGGAGCGTCTATGCAATGCTTTACTCATCTAACACAATAATGACTTCAAATGATGTTTTGGGGGGTAATTTCTGAGCCAAAATTCATGTGCGATTAATTTGCAATTAATGAGATAATTAACTGGCACATGATGTAATTAATTAGATTTACATTTTAATCACTTGACAGCCATATTTTTGTGTTCAGTTTGTGGAGTTTAGTAGTAATAGGTCAAACAGCTTTAATCATAAGTTAGAAGCTCATGCATAGTTCATGCACAGTTATAATGCCTGAAGAGACCCATCATACAGGAGAGAAACCAGTCAGTTGAGTTTGCGACAAAACCTTTTACAGTGATTGGATATTATTCTGTCATTCTATTATTACTGCATATGGGATAATTCATACACAGAAAGTAAAACTGAAATGACATTCATTACAAGATTCTTATAAAACATTTTTTTTTTAAATGCACCTACAATGTTTTGCATTTTGTGACTTTCAGTCAAATCTAAGACTGTACCTAGGAGTTAATCATATAAGAACATATTTTGTAACTTTGCTTGGAAGAAATTATTTTTGATTTACTCTAAATCATAAAATTAAATATAGACATTCAGGGTACCCACAGTCATTGGAAACCTGGGGAAAATAGAATATGTGGACATTTTGCTGTTGTTAATGTTATTGTTGTAAATTTTTTGTAGAAATACTTACATATTTTTGTAAGAAAACATATGTAACAAGGAGGGTGGAGTTATTCTGATTTGGAACAAACCAACAAATAAACCAGTGTCAAAACATCAGTTATTGTTTGCACTGTCTGCTAACTGTATAATTTACTTGTATGTTTTACCCCTACCATATTTGTTTTTTTGTTATTTTTGCAGAAACAGTGTAAGGGGCAGGTTCTCCTGGATCTGGTGTGTGAACATCTAAACTTGTTGGAGAAGGACTATTTCGGCTTGACCTTCAGTGATTCTGACAGCCAAAAGGTCAGAGAGCTATTCCAAATGCTTCTATTATTAAATCTCTGACATACTGTATTTCAGTTTTATTCCACAGGACAGAAGACTCACAAATAATATCTCTGTAAGATCACAATTGTATCAAAATTAAGTGAGAAGTATGCATGTAATGATAATAATAATAATAATAATTATTATTATTATAGTAATAATAATCATAATAATAATAATTATTATTATTACTACAACCTACCCCTCAGAGGAATCTTTCTGCATTTTTAGATTTTCAAAACACTTCATTCTGTATGATTTATGAGCTTGCTTCCTCATGGAGACCTAAAAATATCCTCACACGGTCAAAATTTACTGGTATTATTATACTCAGGGTGCGAACTACGGGGGAGCTCGGCTCCCCTTAATAAGACATGGGCTCCCCTGAAAACGTGATTTGTGAAATTTTGGGGGGTCTCAAAAATAAAGATAACTAATCTGTTACCAAGGGAACAAATGAGGACATGCTAAGAAACTAGGTCAACTAAGGAAGACAGGAAATAACCACACGAACCAGGAACATGCTTCTGAAAGAAAATATTCAGTGGTTCAAAACAGCTTTTACTATATATGCAAATCTGAACAAATGATAAAAAATAAAAAATAAACATTAGGGACTGGACAGAGTAAGACAGAGATAAATATTTTATATCATATCATACAAGGTTTGACACATTTAAATAGACATACAGTATCAAATAGTTTACAATGTGTATGATTCAGTATCTTAGTTGATATAACTTTTTGCAAGCTCTGATTTCTAAGAGACACAAAGAAACAGTAACATGGCACTGATTTGCGATTGTACTGTACTGGCTCATTTGTTATCCAGAAAACTTGAGAAGTAACTGTGTCTGTCAAATATTTTTCCTATTATTCAGTAGAATTCATTATTTGTTTTGAAGCCATTATCCATACCTTTCTGAATAAGATATTGGGCTTCAGGCCCATCCCTAATTATAATACTGTGAGTTCTTGCCTCAGTGTCCAAGATTGATCTCCAATTCATCTCCCATTAAATTCTGGAATTTCTGTGCATTACAGCATTTCTATGTGAGTTCATGCACAGAAGTGACTTTTCTCCCACTATAATTCTCAACCTTGTTACCAGAATGTAACTTTTTGTTGCAGACCTCTTCACAATTCTTTAACCTTGATGGACTCAGAATAATGGTTGGAAAATAGTTTTTAGTATCTGTAACTTCCATATCATTAAAAGAATTAGAAGAAGGGTATATCTCCAGATTGTGATAAATAATAATAATAATAATGGCTGCTTTTTGGATTATTTGTCCTATAATATGTACGGAACATTCAGAACATAGTCATTGTTATTTAATCTAAAGATTAAACAGTGATTTTGAAGATTAAAACCTCAAGCTTTTGTACTTTCGTTTCAATGGTTCCAGTCAACCTTATGTTGAAGTTCATGCAGATGTACTGTAGTGTGCATTGATCTCTTCTGGTGTTCCATGATGTCCTAAATACAGAGCATCTCATTTAGATTTAAAGCCACAGTGGGAAAGACCGATGTTGAGATTTGCATTAATCTCCTTCTGCGACTTTTGTCTCTCAATTCAGACACATAGAGAAACATAGACAAACCATTCTTTAAAGGTGCAATGTGTAATATTTTTGAGAATCTGTTTACAGAAATGCATGTAACATACAAAACTATGTTTTCAGTGGTGTATAACTACCTTACACAATTCACCGTTATGTTTTAATTACCTTAGAATAAGCCATTTCTATCTACATACACCGTGGGTCCCCCTCCATGGTTAAGTCGCCATTTTGCGCCGCCATGTTTCTACAGTAGCCCTTAAATGGACACACTACTCTACAGACTGCGTTTTGTCACTGTTGTTCTTCTTCATTTCTTCCTCATGTTCCTTGTGTTTTTAGAGGCAGCTTGCATCGTCACTACGTTGAATACGCATGAAGAAGTAGTAGTAGTAGTAGTCGTCGTGTGGTTTATTAGAAGCAGAAGTAATTCGTAGAAGTAAGAAGAGTGCGTACTCTGGTTGTGTCTGAATATGCAAACGTGGAGAAAAACGTCTGCTAACGCTATCTCGCTGTCAGATTAAATGCTCTGAACATCGTAGTTATTTACCATTACGTTAGCTAGCTGCTTCATTACTCTTACCTTAGTCTCAGCCTCATGAAACTCAAACCCCCTCATGAAAGAAGAAAGCCGTCGTGTTTACAACTGTGACGACGAGCGCTTATCAGGATCAACTAAACGGTGGATTTTCAAAAGTATGTGAAAAATATAAAGTTTGTGGCATAGAATCTTTAAAATACGTCAGAGAGTTTTACACACCAGTCTGTTATTGTGGAGACATTTCCACACCCCGAAACGTGACGATGAACGAAACGAACTGTGATTGGTTGTTTGACATGTCGGTCAAACGGCCTCATGGGTGGGCCTTGGCCAATGAAAGCTGCCATGAATCCGTTTATTGCAATTTGCAACATCACCGCTAGATGGCGCTAAAATCTACACACTGCACCTTTAACAGATCAACCATTCTTAAATAATAAGGCAGTATGGACTTATCATGTTGCTCTAAGATTTAGTTGTTTCTGTTGTGTTTTGCAGAACTGGTTGGACCTGTCCAAAGAGATCAAGAAACAGATGAGAAGTGAGTACATCAGAATGGATGTGTCATGTAAACTGGTGTTTCATGTAAAAATGTTTACTACAAAATTCTGAATAGGCTCTGTTTTAATTATGAGTTTGATTTTAATAATGTTGGATATTAATTTAAGAAGCAGGAAGAGAAATTCATTGAATTGCATTAGTTCATTTTCATCCCTTTTGTATGGGTGAGCCTATGTAATGATCCAATAAGACACATCAATGGTCATAAGCTCTGAAGCCCTATAGAATCATGCTGATTTATTGGCTGATGGTGCTAAAGCACCACTCATAATTTGCTGCATCATAGTGCCCTTGAAAGTAAATGCTTGGCACCATCATTTCAGATTTTTTTTTAATCAGTGCACGATAGTTTCAGCCTGTTTTATCTAGCGACTCATATTCAAGCATATTTGATTCCCAACTTGAGGGCAAAATTGTGTTTAGGGTATGTCTATCTTATGCATGCACTTTATCATCAGCAAAGACACATACAACATGTGTCTCCAATCAGAATCAGAATGAGCTTTATTGCCAGGTACTGTATGTTTACACATACGAGGAATTTGTTTTTGTGACAGAAGCTTCCACAGTGTAACAGAATGACAGTGACAGAACACAAAACACAGATAATAAAAAATAGAACAAGTAAATAAGGAATAAAAATATATAAATTGACAGTTGTATGTGCAGGTATATTACAATAGACAGTTTTTGTATGTACAGGTACTGTATATTATTTGCAACCCCCGGCAACAATGTCCAGCAGAACATCAGAATAATCAAAAACCGGTGAAATATCGGGTGGTGTGTACTTCCTAATGTCCAGCAATTCGTCTCTGGTGAAACTGATTGCAGGGATATAACTAAAGACAGGACAAACTAACAAAAACATAAAAACAACTGCGGAGCACGCCACGGAGGCAGCCATCAGTGTCGGCGCCATCTCATAAATTTGGGGGTCCATCATGCAGAGGCCACTTCTGGAATCTGGAATCGCATACCACAAGTTGCTGTGTATGCACAAGCTTTATGTGAGACTTTCTTTGTGAGAGTTGATTACATCATGTGTGTGCTTTAGCCACCCAGCTACTAGCACTACACGGCTCATCAGCAAGCACATGGGGGACATGAGCAGGGGCGTGTCTACATGGTGGCCAGGGGTGGAAAAATTTGAAATTTGGCTGGCCACCCCAGGTGCCCCCCTACCAGATGTCTTGCGATAAGCTTGTTTTTAGTCAATTTCTAACTGCACCTGGCAGTGGCGGATCCTAGCATGTGCAGCTGCCTAGGGCCGCTTTCTTCTCCTCTTTATACTTAGCCTAATTTTAGGCGGTTTCTATAGCGTGCACAAATATCGAGCGCACATAACGTTACATGATCCATGTCATGTGCGAGGACGAATCTCTCCACTCGCAAGTGGATTTCCTTCACTCACACAAAACTGGATGTGTGCTTTTAAATATACATTGTTCTTTTATGAATTGTCACTGCTGTCGCTCAGATATTGCGTGTACACGCTCAAACGTTGTCTTCGCATCACTGAAGACCAGAAGAACTTTTTTCTAATTCAGGTGAGGAGTAGGCTTATCTCACTAAATGGAAGCAAGCTGATTATAGTCAGCCTGGTCTAGTTATTTATTTGATTAATAGCCTACTTATTTTAGTTAAGTGCTTAAATTGTAAATATGCATTTATTCAATTATTTTATTTAGTGCATTTGTATTTTGTTGTTTTTGTATATAGTTTTGCCATAAAAGCGTATCAACCAGGTTCCAGAAATAATCACTGAGGGTTCTTCTGAAATTAGTGAGGGTGCTCTAGTCTTAATGCACATTTTCACATATTTTGTCCCGTCTATTGCTATGGATATCACTATGTAAATCACTGCTAAATCGAGAGTGAATCCAGCATAAATATGCAGACGTCATTCCCGAAACTTTGCAACCTGTGTGTGGCCGAAAAACAAAGTTCTACATTTTAAATGGATTATAGACTAGAAAGCTTGCAAAGAGTGCTCATAACCACTAAAAAGCTGCCACTCTTTGTTTAGTGAGTGTATACACAATGTATTATAACATACATCGTGCCGCAAACCGCCCGCAACCCCATCCCATCCAAACCCCCCCACGGCCGGCCACCCTCTTTTGAGCCAGTGCCCCAGACTGGCCCCCCCATTTAAAATGCTCTAGACAGGCCCCTGGACATGAGGCTACCGCTTTCTCCTATACTGACCTGAATTTTTCAAGAGAATTTCTCTGTCCCAGGTGGAGGCTTGGGGTGGAGGATGTAGAAATAAATGTCATGTCTACTGTGGTGTTGGAGTCTGCAAGTGTAGGATATCAGAGTAAATCAGACATTTATAATGTGATCAGAACTGTGCTAAAACTGGATGGATGACCATAAATCTGTCCGGGATCAGCTAACAACTTCTGTCCCAGGTGGAGGCTTGGGGTGGAGGATGTAGAAATAAATGTCATGTCTACTGTGGTGTTGGAGTCTGCAAGTGTAGGATATCAGAGTAAATCAGACATTTATAATGTGATCAGAACTGTGCTAAAACTGACCAAGCAGCAATAATTCCAGAGTGGGCCCCCAAGATGGATGACCATAAATCTGTCCGGGATCAGCTAACAACCTAACCAACCTAACCAACCAGCTCTTTCACAGCTTAAACAAAGAATCCTAACAAAGAAGACTGTCAAATTTAGGCGGGTAACCAAGACTAATGGTAAAAGAGACAACACAGCATGACCATCATGAGTAAAACCATGAGGAAATCATGAGTTAAGACTTCCCTGGGTTGGTTTCCCCCACTCAGGACAGATACCAGACTCAGACTCCTTCTAGACCTTTTGACCTTTTGTTCATTACAGAACACGTCCTCACAATCACGGAACAGCACAGAGACTGTCTTGTGCCTATATAAATGCATCAAAATGATGCTAAAAGGACTTATAAATGCATATCAGTCTATTGCATAACTCTGTTGCATGTTTCTATCAATCAATTCTTGGTAAAATGTATCATATTCTTGTTATATAAATCATGTTTAAATGATACTCTGCAAGAGTGGGAAAATTTGGACCATGTGACTAACAAGATAATATGTTGATTTATTTATTGGGAGGAGAAACATAGCTACAACCCAAGCTAAGACAATGTCTAATTGGTCAAAACACCAATAGGGATGTGTCTTAACAGCTGAGTTTAAAACCCCATGACATGAACAATTCTTTGTTCATTGACTGTTTGCTTTTCTTATTTTTACTTTAGTTTATTTTCTTTGCCTTGAGAGTTTCATGTTCTAAGTTAAGTTTTACCACAAAGCCGTGTCTCAGACATTGTCTGTGCCCGCCTCAAAACTTCAATCAGCGTAAACGACTCCGCACCCAGCCTTTAACCAACACCCAATGATTTGCTTCCCCAAGACCTCATTCCAGACGCTACTAGATCTCCAGCTAATAAACAACCTGGGAAACCCCTTTCAGCACAACAACAAAGGAAATCCCTTAACACAGGCAACACAACTAAACCTCCAGATTCTAGACACAAAAAGTGTGTCACTTTTATCTTTAATGTGCTATTTATATTTGATTTGACCCTTGATGTAACTAAATAATTTTAGGTTACCTGAGAAAACTTTTTTTACAGTGCTGTGTTAGCAAGAAATTCTATTTAAAAAAAATGTTTTTAATCAGAACAGTTCAATTCTTTGTAATAATATAATTTATTATATAAATTATATTATATTATAATATAATATAATATAAAATAATATGAAAAAATGAAGCAGATATTGCTCATGAATTCCCTTTTTGAGGTCAATTGTTTATTAGGTTTACAATATAATATTATATAATATAATATAAAATAATATGAAAAAATGAAGCAGATATTGCTCATGAATTCCCTTTTTGAGGTCAATTGTTTATTAGGTTTACAATATAATATTATATAATATAATATAAAACAAACTGAAGCATTTAAACTGAGATCTGTAAGCTACATATTTTCAAAAAAAATGGGAACATGTGAATTCTTATATAGTTATCTAACTAGAGTTTAGAGTAGTAGAGTTTGCACACTACACCTGTCTGTAACTGTAAATGTTTTGGAGTTTTGTTACCGTTCTGTAGTGATGGCCGCTTTTGAAACACTGCTTCATGAAGCTTCGAAAACTTTGCGAATCACAGTGGTTCGGAGCGCGAATCAAAATGCCAAAGTCACGTGATTTCAGTAAACGAGGCTTCGTTATGTCATAACTGTTTTGAAACATTTTGAAATTTCAATAGTTCGCCTTAGGGGGGCGATCTCTTTGAACCCGTGAATCAATCTCGGATCAGTTTGATCAATTTGTAGACATTTTTAATGAGACATTTGTGTAATTAAAGGGATTAGTAGTAGTTAATAGTCTCTTACTGGCCTGTTTAGACAAGCTCTCCATAAAACAAACAAAACAAGCCCTTGCAAATTAATAATAATTATTTTAAAGACGCATAGGCCTATTATACAGACACTTCATTTTTAAAGTCTGCGTGAACCGGAAGTTGCTGCCAACTTTATTTCAGTGTAGTGACGTATTTCCATCTGAAACGGAATATTGAATAGAGGGCATGGTTTAATTTTTGCTCTCCTCCTCTCTGTCTCTCACTCATAGCAATCTAACGGTTGGAGGGGTGTGTTTAAGGATATTCTGCCCAAGCCGTCAAACTGACATAATCAGAAAAGGAATGTCATTCCAGAGCGGAAGTAAATGTTCAGATTTTGATTAAAGATTACGAAGACAAACAATTTTTTCAGCGGATTAACTTGCACGGATTAATTGTTCACATCATTACTAGCAATGTGCGCTAGTAAAGTAAATAAAGTCCATTTTGATTTCATGCTGAATTTAATGGTATTTTATTATTTTGGTTGCATTTAATATATTATACTTTCAAGAAAGTGTTTTCATTGGGTTTGTAAAAGCTGTTTTTATGCATGTTTTGGTCTGAGTTTTTGTTGCATTTACACAGTTTTGACCAGCAGGCATCACCAGCGTGTGGTGTTTCCAGTGCTTACACAGTTTTGACCAGCAGGCATCACCAGCATGTGGTGTTTTGAGCGCTTCGAAACAGTGAATCATTTTGCGAAGCAATTGGTTCAATTGATTCGAAGCTTCGAAATGGTTTGTTTCTCCCATCACTACTGTTCTGTGCTCATCATCATATTTCCATCTCTTAAACAAGCCACTCTTCTTTCAAACATGATCATGTTTTATTTCACATGTCATTGCGTTTGCGTTGGCTCTCGTGCTGAGCTATTTCATTTTCAACCATTAAAGTATTCGATTTCTACAGCGACTCATTCGGCGCACATCATTCTCTTTCTATGAAACCTGTAAACCGCATTCAGCGGCGCTAACTCTATAGCGGTTTGCCCGAGCATTGCAATTATTTCACATTTACTAGAATTCAGTCAAATGGCTTTCCTAACTAAGTTTTTTGCATGTGTCCTGTGCGCAGCATATTATTCTTCTGCGCGGTCGTGACATAAGAAGTGCGGGTCCGTGTACGCGCACAACTTTTAGAGGGAATATTGCCTATAAGAACGTGTGGATTCTGCTTGAAGTGTGGCGTCTACATGGGCACTTGCTAGAGGTACTTTTTTGCAGGGCATTTGTATGGTGGAGGCTGGTCCTTTCCCCATACTTCAGACTTTATAACCTGTATGAAGAAAAAGCATCTACAAATGATTTAAATGTGTGAGGCTATCTTTTCCATTGTGCGATTAAGCAGCATTGAGTTCCTACTGAATGTAACCCTGGTATCCTGAGTGGGAATGAGAAGCTGCGTAGCTGACCATACTCTGTTACTGCAGAGGTTTGTTCTAGGGTGGGCCCGATACTGGGCTCCTGTACTCGTACTCGTACTCGTTAAAATGCCCCGATACCAAATGCCGATACCACACAACATGTGATAAGCGCCATATTCAAACAAAGAAACACCAACAACAGACAGCGGAAAGGAGTTAAGGGTGTCTACTACGAAGTATATGTATGCAACGAATATAATGTTAAACATTCAGTTTTAACGCCTGTATAGCTGATGTGCGCGAGCTGATAAACAAAGCACGCTGAGTGGATTGAGCGCGTGGCAGCGCAGATGCGCAAGCTTGTCGAGTGAATATATCTTTCTCACAGACATCACTGGAAAGTTTGTAGTTCGGTCGGATATGTCAAAAACAAGTAAGTAAAACAATGCACAAGTTACTTAATGGTAGGGAGAGAGAGAGAGTGCGCGCACTTCTGTTGTGTGATTTTTGATGTTCACTCACTTAGCACACGCATCATTTGGATTAAAACTAAATCGTAAAA